CTGCCCCCCCCCCCCCAATTATCGATATTCCGGCGCCTCTGGGTCATTGAATGACAAGGCTGTCTATCGAGGCATATAGTTATATATCTCTTGACTTTTAAAATAAATCTTCAAAGAAATCGATGTTCGATAATTTTTTGACTTTCGGACGTCTTTCCATGTTCCAAATTTTTCTTTTATCCCCGAGCCGACGGCGCGAAGCGCCGTGCGAGGGTACTAATCCCCCCCGGCTATTTACACCCGGGGAAACGAAAGCATTAGCGAAGTCTAAAGTTCATCAATTCTCGCGGGCGCTCACCAACGATGTTGGGGTGTTGGGTGGGTGGTCATCCTCACTGATCTCAAAAATATGGCGGACTGTCATGAATAGCCGACACTGATTGGTCCAGTTTAAAGTTTGCATTATAACGACTGCATGACGACAATGAAATAGCAAACATTTCTTGATTTGATGATTGATAAATTTCTTGCAAATATATTTCATTTTTGCTCGCATTTTTGCAAGATTTTGTAAATTTCGAAAGCTTTCTCATAAAGAAAGGGCGAATGAATCGGCTAAAAGAAGGGAGCCGACGTGTTTGTGGTTGAATTTTACCTTAAGTTGAAGCTTATATAACGTATAATAACATTCCTAACATATATATTTTGGGAAATTGATAATTTTGTAAATTAAAATTAATATTTTTAGGCGATTTTTTATTTGTAAGAATATTCTTAAAAAATTATCGTGTTACCATAGACAACTACTTTAGATACTTCATGTTCGGAAATACAATGGTTTTGTCAGCAAGGCGAAGGTTTCTGCATGCATGTATTTTCTAGTTATTTATACAATACAGTCCATGCATAACGAAATGTCTGTGTTAGTGCTTTTCCCTAAAAGACTTTAATTTAGAACAGCGACAGAGGAATGTTCATCACTGTTCTAAGTCGAAATAATAAGTAAAATTTCGCTCTTTGGAAGCAGAGTTTACAGTAACCGATGAATATTCTTATTTGATCCCAACTACCGAAAGTCTAAAATGTTAATGTTTTGTTGGCCTGTAGTTCCCCCAAAATCTACGGGGTAGGTATTTTTCGAGTTAAGCCGTTCGAGTTAAGCCCTTTTCGAGTTAAGCCCCTGCCACGTCCTTTTCCGCCGAGGGCTTAACTCGAAGTCAATTAACGATTTAAACATTCGAGTTAAGCCCCGACATTTGGTGGATGTAAACAAGTGACGCGTGTATACTCGCAAAAATATTGGCAAATAAGATCTCTATTGCTTTGCCTACAGTTTTATTAAAACTTTGGTTTAATGCAAACAATGACATCGTGAAATGGGATACCCTAGAATGAGCCAACTAAATAGAGCGAACTAAGGTTTTGTAAACAACAGCTCATTCATGGCGAGAATTCGGCTTTAAAAAATAAATAATATACAGCGTGTATCTGAATTACTCTGCGTATGAACGAGATTTTTCATCTTTGGAAGATCAGGCTTTTAGCTGTCGAATGATATGTTCTCCATGCCAAGTGGATAAAAAATAAGCAAGTACGAGTCCGCTAAAAAATTCTAGTCAGAATCGCATATTTTCATCGTCGAGAAGTGGGTCTACAACCATTGAAAATTAAAAAAAGTTTAAAACTATTTTTAAGTGAAAATGCTAATGCAAAGTCGAGAAAATTACGTACCGAAGCTGGATCGAATACAGGAACTAGAACGTCGCACTCCGAACCTTCTGAGCTGCTGTCGAGCTCGCTGAAGTCTTTCTAAAAGAACTCATTATATATATATCACTCCAATGTTATAGTGACTGCCAGTCATTCGATTTTTTCAAAACCGTGACCGGCTGCCGGTATTACTGTTCTTCCTGTCTGTTCTCTCTCTGACGGGTTGTTGGAAAGATGAGTTACTCGGTCATGTCAAATAAATAGTCACTCGTCGAAAAACTATAAATGACTTTACATAATATTCTAGTCATAGATCTTGTCGTTGCCGAGTTAACGGTTAGAAAGGTTGCTTGCCTCCATATGAACATGCGTAAGATTTGCGTTCTGCAAGTGCCGCTAAAAATTAGTTACTTTTTAAAGCCGTAATTGCCGTGCTGAATGAGCTGTTGTTCACAATCCTTGTTGAGTTCCCTAGCTCATTTCACGATGCCATTGTCTGTATAGAACTGTAGGCAAAGCAAAAGAGGTCTTAGTAAAATATATTTCATAAAATGATGAAATTTTACATTCTCCTTCGATCCTTATTTTTACGAGTATACACGCGTCACTTGTTTACATCCACTATAGATGTCGGGGCTTAACTCCAATGCTTAAATCGTTAATTGACTTCGAGTTAAATCCCGGCGAAAAAGGGCGTGGCAGGTGCTTAAGTCGAAAAGGGTTTAACTCGAAATATACCTACCCCAAAATATACAGACCGCAATATTTTATTCTGCATTCTGTAAGACCAACCTTTAATCTCACCATACAAATAATATTACATTCATGGCAAGTCTAACTTTTGAATTTTAGGGGCTTTATTTCACCCATTTTTAAGGAACTTGGAAATCTCCCTTTTGTTCTGTCATGAATAATGTCATTTCTATATTTAGAAAACATATTTGAAAAATTTATAAATATCTTTGATATGGCAATATAAATTAAGTTTTCCTTATTTGGAAGAACATTTAATTTAAAATGATATATAAACTTCCTTTACAATTATTCCGTATCTTGCTTGGTTTTGGAAATACATCTTTTTATTTTGATCAAAAGCAGCAAAAGCATTCCGCCATTTTGGATATGCATTCGATATACATACGTCACAAGTAGGGTAAAAAGTGAAATTTTTATCTTCCAAACCACATGTCATTATCAATATGAAACTCGATTTTCCAAAGTCTTTTTAGTACTCAATTAACTCGCAACATTTTAAGAAACCTTTCGAAGAAATTTAATTAGTCACATGACATGAAGAAGTTTTAACAAGTTTACCCTGCTTCTGACGTCATCAAAAACTCAGTTAATTAGGTCAGTTATAATACCAAGATGGCGGACTGCAACACTGTTTTTTGTCAAAATATTTCGAAAACCAAGCAGGGTACGAAAAAATTGTAAAGGGTCTTTATTTATAACTTTAAAAGTTCTTTTAAATAAGACAAAGTTAATTTGTATTGCCATAACCCTTTAAAACATAAAAAAACTACTATTGTGTGGAAGGATTTAGTTTTATCATTATTTTTGTTTGATGTACAGAGGTTTAAAAATCAGTAAAAATCCACTATAGGGAAACACTCAGCAAAAATCATATTTTTAGCCCTCAACTTGTCCCCCCCCCCGGTATTTTGCCAGAATGTAGTTAGACTGAAAACAAACTGCATCTTGACACAACCCTTTCAACGGCAATCGCAACTACAAAGTTGCGGAAAGAAATATATTTCTTGATCTAAAGAGGTCATGAGGTTCTTACAGAGACTGCCTCTTAAGTAATATGAATATATTCACGAGTTCTCTTTTCTGCGAATTAAATTGTTTGCACCCTAGCGACACGACAATGTATTGCAAAAACACGAAAACCGCGCGGGGCCTGGCAACCGGCAACCCTATACGCATTGTTTTTTGTCTATAGTTTATTGCAGCATTTAGGATAATGTATAGCACAACTAACACTTTTTGGATTTAGCTTGCTTGCAGTCTTTTTCTTCGACTTATGTGTTTTCAACTTGCTGTTCAAGTAACAGTTGCAAGCTTTCGCTGTTAGGGATGCAACTACCTGAAATTCCACTACTCATTCAAAGGTGGAGATCTCTTTGTAACGACATGATAGAACGCCTTCCAAAATATTTTGAACCTTTGCTCTTTACTCATAAGACAATAAAAGAACATTTTAAGCATAGTCCCAAGCATAACACGTGGGCTGAAACGGTCGGGGATTTTTTTTTTTGCGCTTTCGTTAGTATAAAAACCCCACAAAAACATTTGTATTTCTACACAAAATAAACAGTTTTCTAAATTGTGCGTGTTGTTCTCGTACCAGCGCCCGCAAAACCGTGTTCGAGCAAGTCAAATCATTGGCATTGCAGAGGACGAAAAAGGGCTTGGCCGAACGAGAAATAATGATCAATGAAGACAAAGTTTTTCCAAAAAGAGTTCGGTTTCAAGGTACCCTGAAAATTTGTCCAAAACAATATATGCATATTTTGAAGTCATAGAAAATATTTAAGTACATCCTTTTTTTGCAAACAGGCACTTTTGCTTCATAACTTTTGCTTCATTATGCCCATTGTTAGTTTACAGGCGTTAGGCCTGAAAACCAAGATTCAAAAACATATATTTGGAAAATCGTTTCATACAGTGAGATTTGAATGAGAAGAATTGACCGACTATGGGAAATCGTGAAATATAGCGCAAGTTTGCTTTGAATGTTCATTGTATAGTTCATGAAGTTTTTACTTTTGTTGCTTTAATTTTTTCCTTAAAACATGCATTCTTCTTTCCAATGCAGGTGTAAGTTTCCTAAATGGTCTGTTTATTTAGGAAAAAATATAATATGTAAAGCTAAGGAGAGCCAATTATTATTTGAGGTTAAAGGTAGGGTATACAGTCCGTATGTAAACAAAGCCTTTGTTTACATTTCGGTATTCAAAATATTGAACTTTATTCGACAACTATTTATATTTCCGTGCTTCTACAGTCTGATAAATGATCAAGATATAGCAATCAGGCCTTAACATGAAATAAAAACCTAATTAAAGTGTTTATATCACGGCAGGAGACTCCTACTGTATGTGCGCATGTGCCAACCGAACTGTACTCTATCTTTATTTAAACAGTAAAAACTCGTTAATTGCTCCGCCTTGGTGGTCAGTTGAACAATTTTTATTCGAAATGATGTATGATTTGACAATTAGTAATTTGACATTTTTTATGCAGTTATGCTCCTTCATATACGATTAGATGCTATTTTGAGCTGTTTAGATTAGATCATTTATGCTATACTATATACACAGTATCTATATAGGATAAGCTTTTGTGTGAGAACTCGAAACGGAGCAGCACGTGCGACTGTTTCAGAAGGTGTGTACATTCCACAGCTTTTTCTTTGATCCTAGTTTCATCACCCAATTTGATAAGGCAGGGTGCGATAATTCACGATTTTTAGTCCTAGCGCACTGGTACTCCAATGATTACTGCCTTGTAGTTGAGCAGTGCAAACTTAACAATCAAGGTGTACTTAGTTTTTAAAATGAAGTACACGAAGCACAGGTATCTGAAAGGCGGAATTCATTCAGTAACCTGAAACTACGAGTTAATGCAGAAAGGACGACGATTGCATACACAAACACTAGAATCAACTCCAATATTCCTTAGTCGTATAATTCTTTATTTCAAAACAAGTCAGACGTACCACATACCGTCTTTTAAGTACGACAGGGTTCGTACAAAACTTGAAAGGCCTTGAATGTCTTTGAATTTGTTAAGAAGTAGCTACTTGAAAGTCCTTAAATTTTTCTTGCTTTATAGTTTTTCGATATTTTCTGAAATTGTTTGGCATTCAAAACGGACATTTTGTTCAATTGATTTTGCATGTCTATATCTGACAAAGCTGTTTGAAACACATTAAAGTCGTGTTTTGAACAATTCAACGTCAGATTTTAATGATTTCTAACCCTTTTTCTTCCGTATTTATGTAGTCCTTTAACTTGCTGACACATGCATGACCTTGAATGTCCTTGAAAAGTCCTTGAACAACTTTTGACAATAATTTCCATAATTTTAGACAATACTGTTAAAGTCATTAAAATTCCTTCAAAACTGTTTTTATTTATTTTGATGCCCTTTAGAGTTTTGTGAAAAGTGCGAGCTTTTCTACATGGGCATCACGAAGCTGATGGCGAATAGAGGAAATTTGCTAGATCAGTTGTGTTTTGTTTTGTCCATACATGTATGTGATGTGTACATCATACGTTATTTTGATTCGCGATCGACTCGTTAGTGGAAAGCAAATATAAAAACGCGGTTTCATGCTTTATAGTGTGAACACAAAATGTGCAAGTGAGGCTGACTAGTAAAAAAAAAGTAAAATCGCGATGATTTCCGACGATGTCCGGTTTCGATACGAGTGTAAACGGAACGTTTCGCAAATGCGTTCTGGTAACAGTGGAATGCAAATGGAACGCAAATGGAACGCAAATGGAACGCAAATGGAACGCAAATGGAACGCAATTGGAACGCGAATGGAACGCGAATGGAACGCAAATTGAACGCAAATGGTACGCATTTAGGAACGCGTTCCGGACGCGTTCGGGACGCATTCCGAACGCGTTTTCTGTTAGGTTACTTTTAAGCAGTACTGCGAACCCTGGTACGACTTTTAAATAAAAACTTTTAAACGTTTTGACTTTTAACTTCAATTATGCGGTTTTGTTCTAAAGTCATATGGTACCAGTAAAATGTAAGTATTCTAGATTTCCGCGTACCTATACATGTTACTTGGTTAAAAACAATGATGTACTAGGCCGTAATATTGGCGTACCTCTGGTAAAGCAATTATTGCACCCTGTAAGGTTGAGTGTGATACATTGCCCCCGATACAAACTCTCATGATGTCAGGCATGGACCACAGAACGCGTGTTTTGCGCATTATTCATTCTTTTCAAATCAGCAGTTTTATATACCACATACAGTCAATATTTGCCAACCTGCTGCAAATACAGTCTATCTTTTTTTGTGCCACTCTGCTTGTTTCATCTCTTCAAGATTATCAGCAATCTACAATATTTCAAAAGTACATGTTTTGGTTCTATACTACGGTAAATTTCTTGTGCAAGTCTACGAAAATGGCTGGAAAAATTTCTGGTGAAATTTTTACTTTTACAATAAGGAAACGGCTGAGCGTTTAATGTACGGAGTTTCACCGCTTTGTCCATGTGTCAAACGAAGCTATACAATCTCGAAACCAGAGCCCGCAATCCTCTGTGGAGGCGTGCCGAGGCTCTGGGAAACACCGGTGAAAGTCGGGCTCTGATTGGTTGTTTTTCAACATCCTCGTCCCCAGGCTCAAGCGGCCCTCAAAGTTTTTCAAGTGCTAATTATTATTCAAACTTTGAGCCGTATTTAGTTATTCGGATTTCAAACATCGTTTAAAATTAATATAAAGTTTATTTCTCTTTGTGTATTATGTTTAAACATATCAATGAAACACACAGCATAACATTAATAAACTTATTAAGCTTTCCTAGCTTCTCATATGAAATCAAAAGACTATTCTATTTCTGATATTGATATGCTATAAATAACAAAATTAGAATAACAACAGTGCAGCATTACCATATTAGGTCATGATAAGCCGTTGCCTATAATATTTAAAATAACACAACAATCCATGATTTATCGTAATTAAACAAGTTAAAATAAATCACTACCAGTATCTTACAACAATTCAAAACCATGGCAAGTGTTCTTTGAAGAATTAAAGTCGTAATAAGCTTAAACAACGGCATAATTCATGTTTGACGGCAGTAATGTCTATTTATAAATGTCGAGCGGAGTACTGGATCCAAATGTACTGATTTTCGTGCAAAAGTCGCCGGTGTTTCCCAGAGCATCAGCAAGCCTCCACAGAGGATTGCGGGCTCTGGTTTCGAGATTGGAAGCTATACTACATAATACTAGTGCCAGTCTTTCTAGTATACAAGCAGTAAATACGCGGAGGTTTGACAGCGGCATTACATCGCACTAGATCTTTGCGAGGACACCTTGACAACCCCGTTGCATGCAGGCTTTTTGGTGCGGTTTTGCGTGATAAATATATTTGCCGAACGCAAAAGAATATTTCACGGGTTCAACTTGTACGACATGGCCTTGTAACCAGCTCCGATTCAAGGCGAAAAGAAAGGACTAACTCTTCTAGCCAGTCCACCCAGAGCTGCTTCCAATTAATCGATTAATCGACTATTTTTTTCGGAGTTTTTTCCCGCAATCGAATAATCGGATCATCTATAGATTATCTATATTAGTCATGCACAACATGATTGATTAATATTTAGATATCTGGTAGAGCTTATAACATGTTGAGTCATTAAGTCTGCATGATGTCTTTTAAAATTTATTTTCGTTCATATATAAACTAAGCACCGTCATTTTCTTGCCACCTGTGTCAACTGTGCACGCACGAGAAAATACGCTATCTGTACAATCTATAAACCTCAGTAAAGAAAATTTCAAACGCCAATACCGACTGAAATGTTGGGTGACAAATTTATATTAAATAATCAATACGATTAACCAATATCAATCTATTGTAACTTGTTGACTGATTATGAAAATGAAAAACTCTAAATCCTCCAGTGGCGTAGTAATAGCGACGTGTGCCTATGAGGTCATACATCGTCGGTACGATTCTCCCTTTTTGTAACGATTTTCAAAAAAATTCAAACATTTTCCCTACTAATTTTGACTTTCTGGGGTTATTAGGGTAAAATACACTAAGGCATATTTAATACTCGCAGAGGATTCACATCCTGTTTCTACTTGGATTTCATGAATACTCGTACCAGGCCAAATTTCCACCAACGTCAAACCGTTTTCACGCACTAAAACCCGAATTGGAAAAAAAAGACACGTCTGTCGACCTTTTACCATGTACTGTATGTTGCTTAATTAAATACGATGTATACAGCTAATTCAATTAAGATTGTCTAGTCAAACCGTAAAACCTCGACCTCTAAGTGCATAAGGCACGATGAACTTGCAAATAGTATCAACACTCCGTAGTTACAGTTGCTACGTCCCACAAACCGTTCTGGTTTTGCGTGGAAAAATTGATTTACAATTTACGCCAAATTCCCGTGATTTTCGCCTATTTCAGATTACTATAAACTCCTTTAACCCAATTCAGCAGCAAACCAGACAGAATTAATTCGATTTTCAAACTTTTTAACGTTAAAAAATTAATATGCATAACTTCTTTGGGAATTAAATTCATTTGATTAGCAAAAATACTGGACAACATAATTATACTTAATTAGTAAAATACTGTTACATTGCATATAAACAATATCGTAATAATAAACACGTCAAAGGATAGAAGTTGTCCGTTTTGACCTTCCGAGAACAACTTCATTGAATTAGCTGCATACTTAAATGTTATATATAGGTCTAGTATATAAAACTATGATTTACTGCATTTTGACAACTTGCTTAAAAATTATACTGCTGCACAGTTTATATTGCAAGTATTTTCGGAAAACGTATCTGGTAAAACATGCACGAGCGTTTTGTTATTCTCACACAAATTAAATAATGACATAATTAGTTTCTACTTAAAGATATGCATATGCAAGTAACGAAATTATAAATGTTATGCATGCATCGAAGGGTGCATGAAAGACAGAGTTTCTAAAAATTTCTCTATGCATGCATATTTTGGGCATACGATATAATCTATTTAATTCCAGTTTACTCACAGTTTAAACCAACAGGGTTTCCACCCTTTGGTGAAGATGAAATTCCAGGACTTTTCGAAGATTTTTAAGAACATTTTTCAATAATTCAAGAACTTAAAGCTCGAAAAATCTTTTGAAAGTGACACGCGTTTTGCTATGAAACACTACTCTTCATTTAAACGAAAGGACCTGCACTAATTTTCAAGTACTTTCCACCCCTGGATTTATTATTTTCAAATTCAAGGACTTTCCAGGATTTTCAAGACCCATGGACGAACTGGCTAAACGGGTTGGGTACAAACGTCCCTGCACCAAACGTGCGAGAAATTCATATTTTATCCATTAACGATAATCAAGTGCTATAGCTATTCCAAGGAAGGCTAGACAAACCTTTGCAGTGATGATGGAGCCAATTTTCGAATGAAGTTTAGTCCATGCTGGCTCAGCCATTCGCTCGCGGCTCATAGATAACAACAATCCTCGTCAAACATCCTTGGCGCACTTAGTAAAAATAGCAATGTCTGATTGCCATATACATCCTTGCGCATTTTATTCACGATTTCATGTTCAACCACCCACCCCAGCCTACACAGTCACATCTTGCAAGTCTAACACACATTGAATTGGAGGGAGGTACTGTGCTTGTAATTATAGTGGGAGTCAAATTTCGCACTGTCAGTGTCAAGTGCGCCAATACTTTTGACCACGATTGTAGTAGCTTCTTTATAAATTGTGGAATGGTATTACGAAGGGTAATATTTATCATTTATTATATGGCAAGCATTTGTTTTGATGAATCGCGCAATTTGATTGGCTGCTTACGAGGCAAGATTTTCCAGTATTACCCACGGG